TCTTTTTGGTTATATCAAGAAACACATTTAATAAAGACAACCCTTTAGTGAATGTCAGCTTTTCAAACTGGTGTAAAGCCACTGAGATGTTTTATTGTGAAGTTCAATTAATAGAGCATATATTCACCTGAGAACAGATTCATGATTAATGTGATTAATGATGTCTGTGTGTTACAGTCTCTGTTTGCGTGCACTGAGGTGTATATGACAATAAAGTAGAGAATCTAAATCTATTTATTTATGTTTATTTATTGTATTTTAATCGACCTGTCGGTCTTTTATCCCAAAAAAATAAAAGATTTTACAGTACCCCCTGTTCATAATGACTTCCAGCGGCCCTGCATTTACATGTCTATTTTGTGAGTCATTTAGCTGGATGTTGCTGCACTGACGATGATGTACCTTTTCTTTTTCCTTTGCAGGCTGGGCGCTGGGTTCCTGTGTGAAAAGGAAGACATCTCCATCAACGGCAGCAGAGGCAGAGCTGGCACCTGATGACAGAAATGTTACAGTGAAAAATCAATACAAATTAGAAGGATTTACTGTCCAAATTTCAAGTTATTTTATATATATATATATTTTGACTTTTTGATGTATATTTTATAATCATTAGTACATTTTTAATATACAATAGTTTCTATTAATTGATTTTTGTATTCTCTACATAAGGAGATATTTTATCATTGTCTCCCTTTCATCTAATCTTTCTTTCATCTATTTTCTTTTTCTTCCTGGTTTTCCTTTCCTGTTCTACTTACATTGCAGTGTCCATATAATCTATAAGACTCCCTGCATGAATGATAAAAAAAAGCAATGTATATGCATAAATCAAGCAGAACACTATGGCAGGCTGTGACTCCATCCTGAAGAGAAATATCAGCTGTGCTGCTGCCATCAACACCTTTGACTATAGATGTTGGAGATTGGCCTGTTTTTCAGTGTAGTCCTGTTTCTCTGACTGTGTCTGCCTGGCTGTGCGTTTCCTGGATGGTGCCGCCTTTTACAGCTGCTTTTTCTATGTCTGCTTCTGTCTCCATG